CCCCCCCCTAAAAAAAAAGTCGTTGTTACAATAAGAATAACGGGATGAGGGTGCTTTGAGTGTCTTTTCGTTACCGCACAAACAGTTAAACGCCCTGCCCGATTGATGACGCGTAATCCAAAAAAAAGAAATAGTAAAATTTATTAAATTTACTGAGCGCACAATTCGCTTTGCTAACAATCAGCGACACTTAGCCAACAAAGCATGGTACTGACAAAACAAAAAATTATTAATCCGGCATCTCTCTGAAAGACACCACACGCATGCAGTAGGAGCAGCGATATGGAACGAAAGACAGATAGATGGGCCTGGCACAGCGTAGGTGCATCTAATATCAGTAGGCAGCTGGGCCGAAATCGCAAAACACACACACTTGCGTTAAACTACAGTAGTTCTAAAGATATTGTGCTGTTCCCCTGCACAAGGCATTTTTGGGAGTTAGCATGCCGCAATTGAACAGCGCAGAATTCATGAAACAAACCTCAGTGGCGTACTGCTCGAGGACTAAGTCAGAAACTGGAAACACCATTGGATACAAAAGCAGCAGCGCATCTTCGACGCGCAGAGCAGCTACAAGCTGCATCATGTAGGCTCTGTCATCTACATTCATGTCACTTCCTGCAATAAACAGACAAAAGCAATGAGTCGCCGAGCAGAAGAGAGAGCCCAGGACGAGCAAAAGAAAGAAATGCAGACCTCCGCTAACCGCATCATTCCTTATAATGCAGTTTGCAAAAAGTGGCAACAGCTTCAGGCATTCCGGCAAAATAAGCTGCCCAAGTGGCGCTTGCTCACTGCATTTCTCGCGATATGTCGCCAGCATTTGTGCACACCGGGAATTCACTGAATCCTTCATTTCCTTTGGCGTCTTGTCGCGCACAATATACTCCGCTAAAGCAGGCAGCACTTACAGCAATAATAATCCAAGAACACTTCTCAAAAGATCGCTTCGCTCACCCTGCTTGAAGAGGAATGACACAAGGCAATCGGGATCAGCAACACGATACAAATGGTTGTAATCAGCAGAGACAACCAAGGCAAGATTGTGGATACGCAGTCTTCGTTGCCCGCTGCAGGATGTGAAGAGTATAGCAGTCTGCAGGTAAGCATTACCCTCGGGCAACTTATCATCGTGTCGAATTTCCACATGCAAAGCCTGAAACGAACGCTGAATGATTTGGCGCGCATCTGGCCAGTGTTTAATTTCCACACAGCCAATCCTACCTTATCACAGTCAATAGCGCCCACTTCCATATCCGTGCTATTTTCCATATAAAACAAACCGAAGAAGCCAGTTGGCCGCAGACCTAAAAAAATCCCAGATAGATCCCAGAATCACTGAGCTCCCAGTTGAACATGCATCAGAAATAACATGCAATTCGCCTCAATAAAAAACAAGATAACAGTGATTAGCCTTGAACTTTATCAAAACTGGGCTGATGAGCAACACGGACCGGTGGATGATCGCACCCGCATCATGACATCAAACACAATTTCCCGGCCAATATCATGACTGAGATCGGCCAAAAAACGACCGCTATCTCTTTGAGCCTAGAAATACAAATTTATGAGCTTGCAAGACATTTCATTTCATCAATAAAATTTTTAATTACCTCAAAATACAGATATTTGTACATCGATCCGCCGCTGAGCGAGCAAACTGGCGAAATTGATGCAACATCGACGAACGAATTCGGGAACAAAAATATGTCTACAGCACAACCTGCTTTAACGCATTCAACGCCCAATTTGCTGTAGAAATCAATGCCCGGCTGTAAAACAGCCTGAAAGAACAATAAATTTGGAAAAGCGAGTCCCAAAAACAGAAAAAGCACATACAACTAGTGAGGATGCGCAAAGACTGTAGCTCAGTAACACTGGCTAAATGTTTTGGACTAATATTTAGCTAAATTTCCCAACACACGCAAAAGAAGTTTATTCACCTTTTCTTTGTCAGTTCCGAGTAGCTTCCGGTCGTCGCGATTCTTTAATTTCCCAGGTGCATCAAATAACGGTAGGTTCGTATGAAAAATGAACAGCTTACCAGCCCGATCAGCGCACTGAACATCGCACAGATTGTACGGCACAGAAATTGTACAGAATAAATGCACATTGAAAAAAAAAAAAAAATCAAACTCTGCAGAAGCTGGAACGCACCTTTAATGCATCCAAACCGGCCTGGATAACCGGCCCCAGCAACATTTCAGTGATTTTAGAATCGCTAAACATCTTCTCGATCTCGTCCAACAAACTAAAAGAAAAGATCAAACAGACAAATCATTATGATAAATTTCAAACATAAAATCCCAAGCCTACCTATTCAAAACGACATCAGCCTCCTCCAAAGTGACCAGGAAACCGTCGACAAGAGGTACAAACATATCGTTCACGTCTCCAACCACTAACATTTCAGGCCGTTTCATGTGATTTTTCAGATTGTAGAAATGAATTGTTTGATCATACGTTGCAAATCCAACGTGAAGGGACGATTTTTGCTGGCCCATATCCCTAAAAGCGAAAAAAAAAAAAAAAAAATAAACAGCGATGCGCATCAGGGCATCCGGTGCAACGATGTGCTTTGTGCAATCCCGTCCACTGAACGATTGCCTGCTAATAATTTTCACGGCTTTGCACTTTGGTGTGTGCAAAAATAGTTGAAATGTTGTCTGGTTCTTAAGTTGCGGAATTTCCCACTAAAAATTTCATGCACACGAGCTAATAATTCCTTTATCAAAACATTCACCGGTCGTGCGTGGTACCCAGCGGTGCGTGAAGGCTCAATCCAAGTTTTCGAGGCCGTAAGTTGGTAGAGGAGATCACCCTAAAATTTCGGATAACCAACTTCCGCGGTCCTCGAAACAATAATTTACCCGCAAAAATTTTCACGCGGTCACAGGTGATACCCAAGGGCGTGGGAACGCTAAATATGAATCTGCAAGATCGTGCGTGAGCAAGGGGTCATTACCCTAAAATTTTAGCTTCCTAGATTTTGTGGTTCTCGAGATAATAATTTACCCTCCAAAATTTTCAGGGGCCATTCGTGTTACTCGCGAGCAGGAGAAAACTGAATTTGAATTTCCTGGACCGAATGTGAGCAGGGGACAACCTCACAAAATTTCAGCCTTCTAGCTTCCACGGTTTCCGTGATAATATTTTTACCCGCCAAAACTTTTACGAGGCCCTACATGTTACCTACGAGCAGGGGAAAGCTGAATTTAAATTTTCTGGGTAGTACGTGCGCAGGGGACATGTCCACGAAATTTCAACCCTCTAGCTCCCGTGATTTCCGTAATAATAATTTTACCCGCCCAAACTCTTACAGGGCCGTATTTTTTACCCGTGCGTAGGGGAAAGGCTGGATTTAAATTTGCGGGGTCACACGTGAGCGGGGAACGTTCCCCTAAATTTTCAGTCTCCTAGCTTTTGTGGTTCCCGAGTTGAAAGTTACGGACAAGTTGCTGTGGACACACACACACACACACATACGCATACACACACAGGCAACCCCATGACAATATGCGCTTTGTACTGCTGTTATACAGCATAAAACACATAATAAGCAAAGCCAAATACTGCGAAACATGCAACATCAGAAGATTACTAAAACAAACTTCGGTAAATTGTTCAGCAAATTTCGAATATTTCTGCAAAACACTGAAACCAGACCGCACTGAACAGCGGAATGAGATACATCGAGCATAAAGATGAACGCAGGCTCTTTTGGTTTCAAGCCATTCTAGAAAATAACCGCATAAGCGTGAACAACTGAGAACAACTGACACTCAAAACTGCTACGGCGATGAAACATACTTTGCAGTAGGGTTTGGTGGCAACAAATTCATACGAGCCAAGGAACTGCTCCGGCCGATGCTGGATGTCCGTGCGTCGCCCAGTATGATCCAGATGAGCGAAATAAGCATCGTTCACTGAACAATCAATGCAGCAAATTTTTGCGGCATCATTCACTGAACAATCAATGCAGCAAATTAATTTTTGCGAGGCTAGATCACACAACAACAAACCAGCGGTTGATGAAAGACAAAACGGGCATTTGAATCTGCGGCCACCATCCTGAAACTCCATAAACGCACACATGTAGGCCTTGCAGCGCTGACACCTCACCGGACCAAGCTCTCCAAGATCCACAATAGGGGGTATCATCTGCAAAAATTCCAAATCAGAAATTGCGGAAGGGATTAGCCAGAACCGGCTTTATCCTATCCTATTTTTAGAGAAACATGCATATGAGTGCTTCGAAAAAAAGAATCCTCTGATATCACCGATAACTTAAGTGACGTGCCTCACTCGGATGCAAACGTGCAAATGGATTGATGGCGATCGCGAAGGGCAACTGTGTACTTTTCAACATATCTGAGGAGGCTGGTGCAACGTACATCGTGGAGCGCATGAATTTCGGATTGCAATTCCCTGAACGAAATTTAGCAGTGCAAAAAAGGAAGTTTGTGAACAGAGAACTGGTAGCCATTCTCACAGACCCTGATCCTGAGCGGTGAACTCGGTGGTTGTGAGCGGTGGATGCTCGGCCGTTGGATAACCTGTCGGAAAAACACCGCCTCTGGTTGAACGATCCTCCTCGATCACTTGTGCCTGCAACAGCAGTGGTTCCCACAGAGAGAAGGTAGCAGAATGAGAAATGCCACTGCTCGAAAAAGCAACAAACTGAAATACGTACAATGCTTGGCATGAGGCTAGGATCCAAACGTGGCCTCTGCTGATAGAGTCCAGGCACGCCTGCTCCCATCACCTCGCCAGGCACTGGCGGTGGCCCACCCATCCGAGCACCTTGCCCATAAGTGCCCGGCACTGGCGGAGGGCCGAAAGAAGCCGACGGCTGGTTCATGTACATGTTGGATGCCTGAGCAGGAGCGTGATCAGCGCCACCGGCCGGTTTCGGAAAAGCGCTATTCATCTGATCGGCATACTGCTGCTGCTGTTCAAAGCTTTGCCCTGGAAGGCCGCTCGGTGCTCCGGGAATTTGTGCAGCGTTCGGGCCAACATTTGCCGCCGAATTTGCAAAGTATGGCGGTGCATCAGCTCCGAATCCGGGAGGAAACGGTGGCGGCGCGGGTGGCCTCGAGTTCGTCATAGTTGGCACCTGGGGTGGCATTGCAGCAGCAGGGGCTGGCATCTGCGCTTGCATTAGCGCAGCAGACCTTGGCTGCATTGCTGCGCCTGGTAATGGAGGGTGCAGAGGTGGCCCGGTGGGTGCGGGCGGATGAGCGGCAGCTGGGTCGGGTGCTGGCGGATGCAAGGGGCCGGCAAGTCCTGGCATCTGTGGCTGCGGAGGTGCAGGCATATGCGCTGGCATGGGCCCAGCAGGTAACGGCATTTGTGGCATCATAGGCCTCGCGGCTGGAGGCATTTCTGGCTGCGGCGGCCTGGCGGGGGCTTGCATTTGCGGTGGCAGAGGCCCGGCAGGTGCTGGCATTTGAGCAGCCATCGGCACATTTCCGGCGAATTGTGCAGCGCCAGTCGGCTGCGCATATCCGGCCACTGTGCTGTACTGAACCGCACTCGCGACACCCCGCGAATCTGCAAAAAATTCCTACATATCATACACGGGAACAATCTGATGTGTCGAGTGTTCGCCTAACAACAGATGCACTTCTCGCCAAAACTGCTACAAGTGTCGTCAAACGCTCCCAACTTAGCACATATTCGCGCACGCACAGTTTATGAGTTTGTATAACTAACCGAGAATGGGAGGTTTCTGCATGGCGGCGTTCCTGTGTGTCGCTGGATGCTCCGGAAATGGCTGCACTTGGCCGTTCAGTGGTGCTGCGGCGTTCATCGACATCAGCCCTGTAAGCAGATAAAATGCACCGCACCATGTGACACGCAATGCTTGAGGAAGAAAGGCCAGCACAAACCAACTGATCCATTGAGTTGCTGCTGCTGCTGTGCGGCGGCGGCGGCGGCTGCGGCCTGCCCGACGGCGGTCGTATCCATCCGAGGCGCAGTGCTCTGATAAAAAACGCTACTGTGCAGTGCCGATGATTGCAAACAATTTCGCTATTTTCAAGAAAGGCGTACAGCAAAAGAAATGGAAAGCATGTGGGACATACATCGGCAGCGGGCCTCGTCTGCAACAACTGACCGTTCTGGAACGCGATCGCACCGGCCACTGATCGGTAATTCTGCTCCACACCGCTCGATGCTGAAATTCCACAGCCAGACAAGAATAATTCAATCTCCGTGCAGCACCTAAATCGAGCGCACAGGACCCGCGAGATGGTAGCTTATGGTACGACACCCGTTGCCTGGGTCCGGTGACCCCAGAAACATCTGCAGAAGGAAGCTCGAGCGAAATCGTCAAAGGAACAGTGCAGATCAGCAGAAAAACAGAGAGCAGCGCTTTTCTCCGGGCGATCACTGGCAGCAACGGCAGAGCTGGCCCACCAAGGCAGGTGCTTTGGTTAAAGCGGCCACACAGAGACGCGGCCAAGGCGCGCAGCTACGGAACTAAGGCATCGGCTGAAGTACACCGGAAAATTGCAAACCTGGAAAAGGGACCGGCGCAGGCTTGGCATCGTATCCGCCAGCCGGGTTCGCTGTGTCTGCGGGAGTTGGTAGGGCTGTACGATTATACATCTCTTCGACAAACAATCCCAACCACTCCTGGAACCAAACCGACGTCACGTTCGAACTCGGTTGCCTCCCCTCCCCCTCCCCGTCTTCTCCAAACGTCCGACCCACCTACCACAAACAACACATGATGGAACACCGAAGGGCCAAGAGGAGTGCAGTCGTGGCAATACTGAAGTCGCGCAATGAAACGGCAGCCGTCCCGAGACGGCCGACGTCTTCGAAGCGGCCGACGTCTTCTCCCCTCCTGAACCGGAATTCATAAGCAGTCAGCAGCGCGCCAGCGCAGCTGGTGCCCACTGCTTAGTAGTGCCTGCCATATACATTCCAGTCCCCGGATCACCGGGAGGGGGCCTCCCACGCATGTTGCCCGCAGGCGGTCCCCTCCCTTCTGCTGTAGCTGCGAGGCTCCCCACGATTGCCGCAACCCGACTGCCTGGTTTCCGCTCTCCGTCTTTTCATCAGGAACTGCGGGCTTCCCCGCCTTTCGCGTGCTGCTCCCGATTCTGCCTTGTCTTCCCGTGGCGAGCACAGCCTCTAGTTGCTGGTTTGCCTGAAGTTATTTGTGCCAAGAAATATGTGCAGAAATGAATTGCGGTGTGTTCACGAAACATAGCCACAGTTTTATGCGTGAGTAAGAGCGAGCCAGGATTTATTCACGCACACTATTGCACATAACTGCAGCAGCACTGCCGGATCACCCAACAATTCTCAGTAAGTAATGCACCCAGACAATGGACAGCAGCACCGAGCACACACACACAGACAGCATTTTCAATTTTACATGTCCAGAAATCATGCATTCATCCCGGAATATAATAGCATCATCAAAATACTTGTTCTTACAGATTATTCCTAACAAAACCTTTTCATGAATTGCTCAGAGAAGGGATATCGACACAAAGGCGGTTGAAAGCGTTTGCTTTTCACAAGTGGCTCTCTCAAGGCACCTGTGGCGTACGTGAAAGCGCCCTGCACTTCGCGACGAGACGGTCCCCCGCCCACTCCGAAAGTACAAGCTGCATGCCCCCCTCTCGTTCTAAGCCACGCAGAACGAAACAACAATTCGATGCATCTCGAAGCAGAGGCCCTGTTTCAGTGTGCCTGCAAGCAGCCATCCTCAGTGAAGATCCAGAGTGCACAAGTCACGCATGATGCATGTGCCACCGGGTACCAACGACCAGTTACATTTAATAACAAGTAAAAGGAGAGGATGAAGTAGCTGGAAAATGAACAAGCGGCAGCTGCAGCCACACAAATTAAGGCACCTCACAACCTCATGTTACAGCACTACAATGATAAAGAGTAGCAGCACACATCATCGTCACCGGAAGGACGGGCAGCCGAACTGCCGCTCGGTTGCGCCAGGTCATCGTTTCTCAAGCTTATTACGACGCTTATTTAATAAGCGATTATTCGAGTCTTTGAGACTTTTGATGTGAACGTCCTCGTTGCCGACACGC